GAAGGAGGAGCTGGTTGTTGATCTTTGGTAATTCTTCATGAGGACTAGACGATTGACCTAGAGAAGCTAAAAGTTGTGATTCCCCTCACATTATAGATATTCTTCTAATCTTAGATTTAGGTCTTTCGGTGGTGGAGCTTTGTGTAAAGAAATTCAACTTTATGTGAATTCCACCAATAGATCATTAAGTATAGGGTAGATGAAGTTTTCTACTTGACTAGATTTATGTTTGGTGGTATTCGTTGATAGGATCAAGTGTATTTCATTGAGCGATTGTGATTTTTTGTTATGTTTTGAATGATAAGTTGATGTCATTCATTCCCCTGGTAAGGTTGTGGATAGTTGTAATTTTGATAGATCATATGGTATCTGATGTATAGTGTACATCGAATTTCTTTAATCAGACATCATTACATGCCCAATAGTAGGTCAGTGTGTGGATAAGGGAACCTATCAAATGGAGCTGCATGTAGGAAATGGCTAGGCGGATAGCTGATGTATACGATTCATTTAGGAATTTTTTAATAAATTCATTTTGAACTTTAAAAAATAATATAAAATTCAATATAAATATGGAAAACATAAAAATTGTCTTTGATTCAATAAATTGCCAAAAATAATGTGAGATCAAAATTAAATATCGAAATTTAATATGTTTTGCTTAATTAAATAATATAAATAAAATAAAAAAATAAAATGGCATGAAAAATTCAGGAAAAAATAATCACGTTTAGGGTGATTTTTTGTAATATTCTAGTGTTAGAGAATTAAAGAATAAATTTAAAAATAATTTGAATAGAAAAATACAAATAAAGGTATAATATTAATAAAAATTAAATAATAATAAAATGTAAATAAAATTTTTTTAAAAAATGAAAATGGAGAATCTATATTAACTTTTGAAAAAAATTAAACATATTTTCATAATAATAATTAACATTTAATAGAATATTGGGTATATTTGTAAAATTTAAATTATAATATTAATTTTATATTAATTAAATTGATAAAATCAATAATTCAAAACATAAAGATTCATAAAATTAATGTCAACGGATTGATGTAAATTAAATTCATGATAAAGTATTAATTATTAAAGCATGTAATATTATAGAATTGTATATATGTAATGTGTAAAATGATATATTTATAAAATTATATAGGAAATCGGTTTTTGGCACAGGCCCAAATACCGATTTCACATGCGCTGGGCCCCATGATAAGAGGCCGCGCCATGTGCCTAAATATTTAAGAACCCTATGTCACTGAGTGTTGGGTAATGTGGAGACCCGGTCCACCGAATTTAATTAGTTTCTTAATTAAGTATTTCACCTATCGCTCACCTATCACACTCACCTACCGCTCACCTACCGCATCCCATCTACCGCTCACATACCTTCCACCTACCACTGTCATGGTTTCTATAAATAGTCTATTTTGGTTTAAAGGAAATGCAAGCCAAGCAAAGTCAAGCAAAGCCAAGCAAAACCAAGCAAGGCCAAGCAAAGTCATCTTAAGAGCTAAGAGAAAGAGAGGAAGAGAGAGTGAGAGGAAGGAAGAGTAGAAAATAAAGATTTTCTTGTAAACGTCGAGGCGTTCGACGGTATAATTCCTCGAAGTAGTAAAATTATATGCAGCTCCGTGGACGTAGGCAAGTTTGCAGAACCACATAAATTTGTGTGTCGCTCTGGTGTTTTTTTTTTTCTGCGTGTAATTATTCTCGTTCCATTTTTCACTTTATTGTCGTCGTTTTTCACAACAACTGATATCAGAGCTTTGGTTTGGATCGAAAGAGTAACGATGGGCGGAGACGAAGTGATTACATCAGAGATCAAGAAGTTCAATGGCACAAATTTTGCTTACTGGATGATGCAGATAGAGGACTACCTCTATGGGGAGAAACTTCATTTTCCGTTACTGGGAAAGTGACCAGAAAAGATGGACGAGGTGGAATGGAATCTGTTGGATCGACAGGTTCTGGGGGTTATACGATTAAACCTGTCTAGATCGGTTGCCCACAACATCATCAAGGAGATGACTACTGCATGACGGCTTTATCAGGTATGTATGAAAAGTCATCGGCAAATAACAAGGTGCATTTGATGAAAAAGTTATTCAACTTGAAGATGATGGAAGGTGTGTCTGTTGCTCAACACCTGAATGATTTCAACACTATCACAAATCAATTGTCGTCTGTTGAAATTGATTTTGATAATGAGATACGTGTGATGATATTGTTGGCTTCATTGCCAAATAACTGGGAAGCTATGAGGATGGCAGTTAGTAGTTCTACAGGTAAATCTAAGCTGAAATATGATGATATTAGTGATTTGATTTTGGTTGAGGAGATGCGCAGGAAAGATTCTGGCGAGACCTCAAGTTCGAGTTCGGTGTTGATTGTTGATTCCAGAGGGATATCACAAGACAGAAACTCAAACCATGGAAGATTAAAATCAAAGTCAGGTTAGCAGGAAACCTGCTGGAATTGTAGCAAGGCTGACTACATAAAAAGGGTCTGCAGAAATCCTAAGAAGAAGGAGAATGATGGCACTAATGTTGTATCTGAAGAAATACATGATACACTATTTCTGGCAGTTTGCAGTTCTGTTGATGACTGGATACTAGATTCAGGGGCTTCCTTCCATACATCTTCCCGTCGGGAGTTAATGCGAAATTATGTTGCAGGTAACTTTGGGAAGGTACATCTGGCTGATGAACAAGCTCTGGACGTAGTGGGGATGAGATATGTTGATATTGCACTCCCTAACAAGAGCAAATGGACTTTGCAAAAGGTTAGACACGTTCCTGAGTTGAAGAAAAATCTCATCTTTGTTGGCAACTCAATGAGGGTGGTCATTCGGTGGTGTTCTCAGATATTACCTAGATGGTTACCAAAGGACATTAGCACAAGCTCGGGATAAGAAAACTGACACACTATATATGACTACAGATTTACTCAGGTGTGGACACATGAGTCAGAGGTGCATTATGGATGAGTCAGAGGACATGAGTCAGAGGTGCATTATGGGGAAGTAGAAGAATGTCCATTTCTTGAAAAGTGGCATAGCGCCAAAGGCTGGAAAATCGGACCATGTACAGACAAATGGTGGAAAACCACAGAGTTATGAAGAAATCTTGCAAGATGAGAATTTGAGCAAGTGAGAGCTAACCAAGAAGGAGGAGACGGATTCCCTGTCAAGGAATCAGACTTGAGAGCTGGCATAACTTCCACCAAGGAAGAAGACATTGCACAACAAGTGGGTGTACCGGGTGAAGACTGTGTTTAGAGGCAGTAAGAGGTACAAGACTGGACTTGTTGAAAAGGACTTTCAGCAACTTTCAGCAGGGGCAAGGGGCAAGATATTGCTCATGCAGTTCGAGTTGTAAGCAGATACAAGAGTAACCCAGGAAAGAGCTTGGAGGTACAGGGCTACGTTGACGGTGATATGTCAACTGAGGGTGTTACTCGTGAGAAGTTGAAGTTGTGCTTAACTTCAGCTGGTCTTCTGACATGAAGACAGTGACTTTGAGTTGCAAAGGTGGAGTATATCATGTTTGAGGAAAATGTCGATACAACTAGTAGATGATGCAACTAGTAGGTGATGCATTCAGTGTCTCAATCTCCAAGTGGGAGAATTGTTGGGTAATGTGAAGACTCAGTCCACCGAATTTAATTAGTTTCTTAATTAAGTATCTCATCTACCACACCCACCTACCGTTCACCTACCACATCCCACCTACCGCTCACCTACCTCCCACCTACCGCTCTCATGATTTCTATAAATAGTTTCTTTTGGTTTAAAGGAAATGCAAGCCAAGCAAAGCCAAACAAGGTCAAGCCAAGTCATCTTGAGAGCTAAGAGGAAGAGAGAGAGAGAGAGAGAGGAAGGGAGAGAAGAAAATAGAGATTTTCTTGTAAACGTCGAGGCGTTCGACGGTGTAATTCCTCGAAGTAGTAAAATCCTCTGCAGCTCCGTGGACGTAGGCAACTTTGCCGAACCACGTAAATCTGTGTGTCGCTCTGGTATTTTTTTTTTCTGTGTGTAATTTTCTCGTTCCATTTTTCGTTTTATTGCCGTCGTTTTTCATTTCACTGAGGATCTGAGGATCAAGCTCGTGGCATGAGGGGACTTACAGTCAACCCCGCCAACCAACATACCACGATTTGAGGCATATATATATATCTGTGTGTGTGTGTGTGTGTGTGTGTGTGTGTGTGTGTGTGTGTGTGTGTGTGTGTGTGTGTGTGTGTGTGTGTGTGTGTGTGTGTGTGTGTGTGTGTGTGTGTGTGTGTGTGTGTGTGTGTGTGTGTGTGCCGCTCTTTCTTTTCTAAAAAAAGCATCATAAATTAATCAATAAAACTTTATGCTACCTTAAAATTTAATTAAATTTGTTGTATATTGAGCATTAATTTAAATGTTTGTTGTAAAGAATTGAATGAATATGCATTTTTTATGTTTATAAATATATCTGTATAACCAAAATGTCATAACTTACCCATTGGAATTTCAAATTGCACCAAAATTTCACCAATGGTATTTCTCAACAAATAAAAGACAAAACCTAAAATCAAATAATTTTGACTAAATAAATAATAAATAATATCAATAATTCATAAAAACATTGTTTGAATTTAAAACATCTTGAAATTTGTAGGGTTTGTTTAGAACTCAATTCTAAGTAGTCCTGCAATATTTCATAATATTTTGGGGTCATTTGGATTTATTATGAATTTGTAATTGAAATATGCATTAAAATTTTAAATAATTATAAATAAATAATAATAATTCAAAAAAACAATCACAAATTAAACATGTTTGAGGCTAAATAAATTCAGGATATTTTAAAAATATTTAAGTCAAATTATATTATACTCATTGAAAATTCAAAATAAATTAAATTTAATTATAAAAAAAAAATATCACAAAATATATAAAATTCTCAAAATTTTATATTTATTCTTTTACAAGATCCATAACTACTTAAGTGGTTTAGGGTATCCAATAAAACTATAGTATTGATTAAATTAATAAATTAGAATAGTCTCAAATTTTTGTAAGACAACATAAAGAAGTATTATTTCTTAAAGCCAATAGCATTTCACATGCACTAAATCATTTCAACGGTTGATAAGCTTCAGAACTAAGCATAACTTGAAACGGCTAGGATGCCAAATGAAGAGAAACAAGAGAAGCATAAGCACCATTTGGTATGCTCACCAGCGTCTCATGCCGCCCTTGCTCAGCAATAACGCCATCCTTGACTACAGCAATAATGTCAGCGCCCTGGATTGTGGATAAACGATGAGCAATGCTTATGGTCGTCCTTCCCACCATCACTCGGTCCAGCGCTTCCTGCACCACCTTCTCCGATTCTGCGTCCAACGCACTGGTGGCCTCATCCAGTAGAAGAATCTTTGGGTTCCTGATCATGGCCCTCGCAATGGCAATACGCTGCTTCTGCCCACCTGAGAGCTGAACGCCTCGCTCCCCGACATTCGTATCATAGCCCTGAGGAAGAGATGAAATGAACTGGTGGCCGTTTGCTGCCTTGGCGACGGCGATGATCTCATCCTCGGACGCATCACCTTGCTTGCCATAGGCTATGTTTGAGCGTATTGTGCCGCTGAACATCACGGGCTCTTGGCTTACCAATCCCATTTGCTGCCTGAGCCAGCTGAGTTTTAGCTTCTGTATCTCAACTCCGTCAATGAGAATGGCACCTGAATCGGTATCATAGAATCGCTCCATGAGAGCGATCACTGTGGATTTTCCACTGCCACTCTCACCAACTAGCGCAATTGTCTGCACAATCATTGAAGTAAAGGCACAAAATCGAACGTTAAAACTCTATACAATTTTAAGGATAGGCAATGGAGGATGCAACGATGAGTGAGCTGGCAGTAATTAATTGTAGGTGAACAGAATTTTCAGTAAAATGGCACTTATGTAAAATGTAAGTTCACATGCTGCTCTCAACTAATGGTGCCAAAGCTTAGTTATGCAAGATAAAAGCAAAAGGACAATAGGTCATGCTAGCCAAATGTAAAAAGAAAGATTATATCATAAGAAGGTGAATAAAAAATGTTCCAATGGTGAATACTATACCTAATAGTTATGGTTCAAGAAAGAGGACGGTACGAAGTTGCAACATAGGGCCTGGTCTATTTCAAGCTTCCAATTAGATGTTTGACTTTACGTTGCCTTTTGTATCAGCAATTTGTGTGCATAATTTCGCTAATTTTTTAAAATTATTCTATAAAAAGTGGGATGTCATAAATACAACATGAAAATAAAAAGAATATCAGAGATGAGTGAGTGTTCCAGTTGAATATATGTACAGCTACAGGAAGACTTTATTCTCATTTCATATCGGAAGTGTCAGCTACAGGAGAAAGTAAGTGCCAACAAATATACTATTACATTAGAAGTTGTATCTCAGCTTCATAAAATTTGTATAATCCAATACCTTTGCTTTCATATATATATATATAGCGCCACCAGTTGTGACCTGTTGGTAGAGCAGACTCTTTGAAGGTCATAAGTCCCCTCAAGTCACGGATTCAAATCCCCCTGTGGCCGGTTTGTTGGCAGTGAAGGCAGTTCTCGAATAGTTAGAAATATAAAGGTGGCTGAGGGCTTGTATAATAGCCTCCGACCATTCTTTTTAATATATATAGTTTAGAGACGCGTACTCAGACCAGTTGGTCGGGCATCTGCTTGTCAGTTGTAAGTCCCCGCTAGTTTGGGGTTCGAATCCCCCCGAGTGTAGGGTGTAATGCTCGAATTGTTAGGCGCATTAGGGATGGTCGGGAGTCGTATAATAGCCTCCGACCATTCCTTTTAAATACATAGCTATATACATGAAGTGAGAGAGATTGAAATTTGAAACTACCTTACTTTCTCTAAAATAAAGCAACAAGAATGAAAATATACCTTTCCAGCTGGCATTCTCAAACATAGAGCTTTGAAGATCTGTACTTCCGGACGTGTTGGGTACTTGAAGCTAACATTCTGGAATTCAATTTCCCCTTTAACTTCTGCCAGCACCAAACCTTCATCAATACTGGCATCAATCTTTGATTTCCGGTTAAGAATCCCAAATATAGAGGCAGCTGAGTCTTTGGCTTTTGTAGCATCAGGCCCGAATGCACTCGATTGTGAAACAGAAATAGCTGCCATGGTCAAAGCAAAAAACACCTGCCATTCAAAGTACAGAACGCAAAAATGTAGCCTGAAACACTTGTTACGAAAAACTTTAGCTAGTAGAGCGAGAAGTGAATTAAATTGGTACCCTGAAAACATCGCTAAATGTTGCACTTCCATCATGCACAAAACGGGCTCCAACATAGAAACACAAGGCGTAGGTACAATAAAGTGCGAAAAAAGAAAAACCATAGCCAATTCCACTTATTAGCCCCTGCCTAATTCCCTGTGTCACCGGATTTTTACATTTCTTATGATAAGCATCCATCACCTTCCCCTCTGCACAGAAGGAAGCCACAGTACGGATGCTGGTGACTGCATCGCTTGCCACTTGACTGGCTTCTTCATACATAATCTAAAATGAACCAGTTGAAGAGTTACCATTAATTGATTTAATTGGTTCGAACAAGTCTATAGGTTTGAAGAAAAGCTAACAACTCATTACAAAAGTATAGTTTATGTTACCTTAGCATCAGCACTAAATCCTTGAAGGAATTTCATTTGCGCATAACCCTGCAGCCCAACAAGAGGTATGATTACCGTGATCACAAGTGAAAGCTTCCAGTTAGCAACGAAGGCTATAAGTATCCCAGCTGTAACGGTCGCTAAGTTTTGAACTATCAAAGCTAAAGTGTCACCAACAAGGCTTTTCACAGATGATGCGTCTGAAGATAGCCGTGAGCCTATTGCCCCACTGACATGGAGAAAAGCAAATTTGCTCCTTGTGAGTGACTCACTAAAAAGAAAATACATTACAGAAGATTTAATCATCATTTCGAAAGTAGTACCTAGTATTTGCAGGTTCATCAAACCAGCTAATCTCTTGGTGCACCACCTTCTCAAAAGTAAGTGAACGAATGCGTTCTATCAGTTTCCCACCCGCAACTCCAAACAAGTAATGCTGCATTGGCACAGAAAGGAAAGCAATGACACCTAATAACGCATACATCAGGGCCCAAAACCTTGAATCCTTTCGGAGTTGATGTGGCGGTTCGTAGAATGTCTTGATGGCACTAGAAATCAAGATTCCAAAGACGGGAAGGATGACTCCATGGACAGCTGCAGCAATGGATCCGACAAGAAGAGTTGGGATCTCTGGCTTGTTGAGGTAAGCAATTCGCATGATAGAAACTTCCTTCCTCTCCTTAGTATTGACATCTCTCTTCCATTCATCGTATGCTTCTGGATTATTTAATTCAGCTTCTACCATACTGGGCAAACCCAAAGAATGTATAAATGAGAGCCGTCTGCTTCCTCCACGTGAAGAGTTGCGAGAGAATGATCTAGTTTGGGAGAAAGCATGTCCTCCTGATCTTTTTAAAGAGATATAAGCACTACTGGTTAGCCCTGTTTCACTTAAGCTCTCTGAAGGTGCAGATCCTGATCCTTTGTTGAGTTCTTGCAGTCGTACGAGCTGGGAGTAAGCCCCATCGACATTCTCAATCAATTCCAAGTGTGAACCTGCAATTCATAATTACTAAATCATCCCTTTTGGCCCAAAAAATTTCTTCACTGCTCAAAATGTTTCAAGAATTGGACAAAGGATGTATACCTTGCTCAACAAGCTTCCCTCGCTGAACAACTGATATGGTATCAGCATTCCTCACAGTAATCAAGCGATGGGCGATAATGATGGTGGTTCGGTCTACCATGATACTTACCAGAGCATCTTGAACAATTCGCTCAGACTCGGCATCTAATGCACTGGTCGCCTCATCTAAAAGTAATATCTTAGGATTCTTAAGAATTGCTCTTGCAATTGCAATTCTCTGCTTTTGCCCACCAGATAGCTGAGTGCCATGCTCACCGACCATTGTCTCAAGGCCCTATTCAGAAGCAGTAAGTGATTAAAATTGTGTCGGGAACATTCATGGAAAGAAGATAAATAAAAATGGGAGTAAGTATTTTCTACATTAGGCAACAAGTCTATGAACTTAGAAGCATTAGCAAGCTCCATTGCTATTCTTATTTCTTCAGCATTAGCACCTTCCTTTCCATAAGAAATGTTCTCCCTGATAGTGGTTGTGAAAAGAACGGGTTCCTGGCTAACAAGTCCAATCTGTTCTCTTATCCACTTTAGATTGAACTTCTTCAGGTTAACGCCATCTATCAATACTTCACCAGCTTGAGGATCATAAAACCTCTCAACCAGACTAACCACTGTTGACTTCCCGCTGCCACTTTCTCCTACAAGTGCCATAGTTGTACCACTTGGCACACACAAGGAAAAGCCATTAAATATCAAATGACCAGGCCTGGCGGGGTAACTGAACTGAACATCCTTCAGTTCTATGTCGCCTTTGATGTTTTCCAAAACAATGCCACTTTTGTCACATGAATCAATCTCTGGTTGCCGGTGGATCGTCTCAAACATCTTATATGCAGCAGCTTGACCTGAAGCAAATGCACTCAAACAAGGGGATGCCTGGCCTAAGGACCTATCATAGCCCAAGTTATACAGAGTCAAAGCATGAAACAATTATGAAGAACAAGAGATTGCTTAATTTCTCAAGGGAATGCTAAAGGTTTTGAAGAAAGGAAGATGACTCACATTGCGCCAGTCATAACAGCCAACATAACATTGATGACTTCCCCTCCATTGTAGTCTTTTTTAAGGATCAATATAGCACCATACCAGATAGCTAAGGCATAGCTGAAAAAAACAATCATAATAACACAACCCATACCAAGTCCAGCAGCAGTTCCTTGGTGAACTGATGATTTGTAGGCATTTCTAATAAACTTATTATACTTCTCGATGGCTTGCCTCTCCCCAGAAAATGACACAATCTTGCGGAAACAATTCAAAATAAGTCCAAAAGATCAAATTAATTTAGAAACTAAATATTAAGAAATCTAGTTTTAATAAAAATATATATAGGATGGATGTGTGCTTACCGTCCTAATGGACCCTATTGTTTGATCAACAACAGACCCTGCTTCGGCATATGCTGATTGTCCACGAGCTGATAGTTTTGATATGATTAAAGACATTATTGCGCCAGACATGACAATAAAAGGAAAACCACATATCATAACCAGCGTCAAATGCCACCCTTTGACAAATGCTATGATAAAGCCCCCAAAGAAAGTTGAAATAAGTTGTATAAACTTTCCAACCTAAATAAAAAACAAAAATAATTTGATGTAAGGGTAGTATAAACAATTTTACCAATAACTTAGAAGTAATAATTATTCAATAATTTGTTTTAAATCAGCTAATCAGTTAATGGAAAATAAAAATAGGCATAATAAACTCTTCCAATAGTTTATTTTTATGTGATTTAAACTACCTTACAACTAAAATATCATTTTACAGCTTTTAAAACAGTGGAAGGAAAAAATAAAAAAAAATGTGTAAAGGTGGTTAATGATAGGGCATCTTTTACTGCCATGGCAGCGACTCACCTTTTCACCCATGGCATCTTGAATAAGTATTGTGTCACCAGACATCATCCCTATCACTTCTCCAGTATTTGTTTCCTTATCAAAGAATCCTATATCCTGCCTTAAAATTGTCTTCAAGTACAAACTACGTATATGTGCAGCTTGCCTTTCTCCGGTCACAATCCAACATGACACCTCTGCATACATGTTTTAAAACATCGAGTGAAATGAAAATTTGAGCCAAGTTCAATTGCTAAATATTCAAGTAAACATACATGGTTCTGAAAATTTCACAATAATCATTCTCAGATTGAAGAGCTTAAAACAAATTGACGAGACAAATGGTATAAACAAGATTTTCACAAAGTCTTATGATATGGCATGTATTTTAAATGGCACAAAAGATGAGATATTCACATATAAGCAAATAATCATTGGTATTAATAGCAAATAATCAAATAATCCTAATTACGACATCATTTAAATATATTATAACTTTATATTTTGAAAGTATTTAGAATAACACGGAGTTTAAAAGCCTCTTGATTTTTAGAATTTATTTTTAAATATTAAGAGATAGGTAAACGGAAATAAACGGTATGAATAAGTTGAAGTTACTCAAAGTTACTCCATACGTAAAAATGACGCAGCTCCAGCACCAATAGCTAAATATACAAATTGTAAGGCAACCTGCAAAAGAGAAATTAAATAAGTTTGATAGCAAACCATCAGTATGTTATTCTTGGAATCATTCTTGATATAAAAGAAAAAAAAAACACATGATCAGAGTAATGCATCTTAACTGATAGAACAATTAATCTTCAAATTATGAATTCTTTTTGAAGATGTCTTAATAAACTAGAAACAATTTCATTATCCAATTAAAAATCTCTTGCATGATTTCCAAATCAAGCAATTTTCATGTAATTTTTTTAATCACTTCAATTTATTTTATTTCAGTATGCAGCAAGCTAATAATAGAGCCATTTTAAGGTCTAAAGCTTATGCCAACTTTCTTTTGAATGCTCAGAGCACCGGAAATAAAATAAGCATCCAAAGGGACCAAATTCAACCGCTCAACCCGCTTGAAAAAAAAAAAAACACATTTAGAATGGGGCGCTAGAAAAAATATTAGATTTAGAATGGGGCGCTAGAAAAAAAATATTAGGATTTATCACTACAAAATCAAATGTCAAAGAAACTTTTTAATTTATATTTAAATTTAGCTTTCTAATATGTATACATACATACATACATGGATATATATATTTATATAGCTACTCCACTTACCCAAAATATGGCTACCCACTATAAGGATTGTTGCGCTCTTAGATGCAGCGTCGGTCATTCAATGATGAGCTTCCTCAATGATTTTTTGCGGCTATCAATAAATTAAGATGCACTCCGCCAACACAGAAAAGACAACATTTATCAGTATTAAGGGAGTGCATTATTACAATGCCATGCCCTTCAGGCTTAAAAATGCTGGGACGATCTATTGGCTTATTAAGAATTTAATCTTTCTTGTACAAAAAAGAAAAAAAAATATTAAGATGTATATGGATGATGCATTACTAAAAACCAAGATATCGAAGCAACACATTAAGGATCTATAAGAAACCTTTGAAACACTAAAAAGTTTAGCATACAACTTACTTCAATTACATGTATATCGACGCAGCAATAAGAAAATCCTTGTGTTAACTTCTGACCCCTGAATGAATTAAAACCAATCCAAAAAAAATCCAAGTGTTAATCCACATGTCTTCCCACTAAAATACTAAAGAATTCCAAAAAAAGACCAATCGAATCGTAGGGCTAAGCCGTTTTTAACTCATTGTCAGGTGGCAAATGCGTCAATTTTTTCAAAATCTTACAACAAGCAAAAAAGCTTCAATTGGTCAAAAAAATATGAATAAATATTCAGAAATTTGAAAGATTCCTTCGCATCACAATCACTACTCCAAAACCCAAAATGAATGAAAAAAGTTCCCTGCACTTGGCAATCATACCTGAGGACATCAACTTGGTTTTAGTCCGAGAGAAGCAAGTAAAGTAGTTCCCGATTTGCTATGTCAGTCTAGCCCTTCGAGGTGTAGATCTCAAGTATCAAATTAAGAAAAAATTAACTATCTATATCATTAATTTTTTTCAGCAAGCTCTGCCTGTATTTCCAATCACCTATGGTTAGAATAATCACCATCATCCACTTAAGTTGGTCATCACTAAACCAAAACACTGTAGTCGGCTTCTCAAATGAGTGGTAGAACTTAACCAGTTTGGTCTCTCATACCTTATGATAAGCTCCATCAAGGCTCAAGCCATTGCCAACTTCCTGGCTAATTTCTCCAAGTCGGGCAAGCCAGATAATGAAATAAGACTGACAACCTGAACTGGGTCTAGCATATGAACGGAGTATCTAGTCACATCAAAATACGGCTCAATCTTACTCTAACAAATTTGATTAGAGATCACTTATACCATTCGATAGAAGTAGGATTCAAAGTCATCAACAATCAAACTGAGTACAAGGCATGAAAGTAGGGCTACAATTCACTTACAAGATAGTAATGCATCATCTCCTGGTGAAATCTGACTCTCAATTGGCGGTCAATCAAATAAAAGATAATTTAGAGGTTAGAGAAAAAAAAAATGGCTAGGTATCTAAGAAAGACCAAAATGGAGATTGGAAAATTCGAGGAGTTCAAAATTGAACACATCCCCAAAGAAGATAACCATGGGATTGACCTCTAGTCTAAATGCTTTCTTATAGGGGAAGTGACGCCTCAAGAACTTAATTGACTGACCATAGAAGGTGCCAAAGCAATGGAGACAGAAACTGAAGGAACAAAGAGCTAGGTAGACTCGTATGTCTTGCTTCTTAAGATTGGAAAAATCAGCGAAGAAATAATCGACCCAAAGCGCTTGAAGATCAAAGCTTCACAGTATTTGTCGATTGAGAGAACTTTTTCGAAGGTCAGCCACATCGTTATATTTAAGATACGTCAAGGGGAAAAAAAAATTAAGGAAATATAGAGAGAACTACATTCAAGTGAATGCGGGAGTCATTCCTATGGAAAGATGTTGGCTTACAAGATATAACAAAAAATTATACTTCTTGTTGACACTACGTAAGGATACCCACAAATTTGTAAGAACTTGTGGGTTTGTTGGTGCTACATTGGTGCAAATTTTTGGATTACAAAAATCAATTTACAAGATACTTATGAAAAAAGAACATTTTTTTTTTCCGAACAACAGAAGAAACCAATCTACACATTTGATGACCCTCCAATATCTCTATCATCCATCTATCTCGCTTGGATTTCTGGCCCTCTGAGTCGATCAACAACATAGAAAATTTTTCTAGATTAACCCAAGCAGGCGTGACTAAACCGGTCTTTGTCATATGAACAACACCATACAAGATCCCATTCTAAAATTTCTTTGCAAAAATGGTCTTTTGCACTAGATGGGAAGAAAGCTCAGCGAAGAGCTCATCGCTCTTTTTTATAGCAAGACGCTCCTTTAAGACCTAGTTCTCTTCTTTTAAAGTGAGTTTGTCCATCTGTCATCTTCAATTTTTCCTCTGCCTCTGTCAACTTGTCCTTGAGCTTCCGCCGAGCCCGATGCTCCTAGAGAAGAATGGCTGGCTAGGTATGAGATGCTTGTCAGACCATCAAATGGTTAATGTTTGTCATTTGACATGGGTTGGTCAAGTTCTATTCAAGTAAAGCCTCCTCCAAGGATGGAGACCACACCACTTCAGCCATTATAGAGGGATAGAAGGCTGTAGCCCAAGAAAAGGAATTTCAGTTTTTCTGAAGATCTATCAAGGCAATCATGCTGCTCAGGCTGGTGCTCACTTTTGCGCCCACAACTTGCATGGGAATCCATCTAAATGCGGGCTCTAGGCATTTATTTCAAAACTACAAGGTGGGCAGCTTGCACGAGTCAGTCACTGAAAACTTCCCCTTTTGACGATTTTCTTACTTAGATTGTCTAACTAGGTAGGACAATCGGTTGATGATTCCACTGGCAAGTCCTCTTGATACTCCTGTTATGTCTTTATCTGAGATCCATTTGAGTCAACTCGAATGGGGCGGCTAACTTCATCCCTCACAAAATGCTGCCTAAGTGGTCAGCCAAAGGCTAGCGAGCTCTATCGCCTGTCCTCCCATCATGTTTTTCCCCTAGTGGTAGCTTGATCCCTCTCAGCTAGTTGTTCTCTCAACATTTGGTTGGTGCGCACTTGAGGGACCTATAACTAATAGAGAACTCTTAGTTTTCTTAGAATATTTTGATCTCTCTATTAAAGTTAGTTCATCTGTTTAGACCCTTTGAAAAAAACTAGAGAAAGGGGAACTATGTAAATATGGTGAACACCAATCGAACCTTCAAGCCCAATGGCCCGAATCACCACCATGAATGTCGATTCTTTTGTCACTCTGATTGCAGCTGAGTGAGCCTTCTTCTTCATTGTTTGTGCGACAAGGGCCACCTCCCTCTCGGCCTGATGAGCATCGGAGGCTTCTCAATCAACATCTATCATTGCCAAAGGATGTCTGCCCACAGGCTTCAGGTACCGTTGAACCGAAAGCTTGGTCCCCTAATTCTTGCTCGCCTCCCGTGGTACCCTCACCGATGTTTTAGCCTTCACCTTTGGAGGGGCACCCTTAGATGGGGGGAAATATTTGCATACGGAATATGCACGTAGTTGCGTGCGTACTCGATTAACCCCGCAATACTCTCATAATAATATATGAATAACATCGAAATAGAACCCGCAAAGGTTATTAGAAGGTTATTGGGGTTATATGTTATTGAAATTAATACCCCAATAATCTCCCAATAACCCCCTAATAAGCGCAAAGCGGAGGTTATTACGCATGCAACTCTGCGTGCGTAGTTTGTATGCAAATATTTCCCCTAGATGGGACTGTCTGAATGAAGCACCCTTGCAGGGAGGAATCTAAACAGAATCACTACTTCAAGTCCTTCAGTTTATTCTATAATCCTAATAGTTGTAAATTGTGATTTTCTAGCCAAAGAAAACTGGAAAAACCCGTTCGGCCCAAGTTACATTGAGAACAAATAGTTAAATAGGTCAATAGACCATGGAATTCCTCACAACCAACATAATATTACGAAGGTCATGAAATTTGCAAGAGAATTGGGCTTCATGTACACTGGGATGACTACATAATTAGCGAAGATGGAACCCAACTCAGTGCAGAGTGGCAAGCGAAGGTCAAATCAGAATTAGTCCTCATAGAATAGAAGATTTGCATTATACAATAAAGTTACTCGATCTACCTCACTTGTAATCCAAAACTTGAAGAAGGGATAAACAACATGACTCTCATACAACGAGTCAACCTCTGCCCGAGTCATTCGCGACTTGGCCTCTGAAGTTAGCAACCCAAAATCTTTTGGGGAGTACGGAGGTGCCATCAGATAATCGTTGGAAGTGAAATACAAGGAGCGAGGAATATGAAAAGGAGGAAGAGGTATGCCCTCATAACTAAAACCCTTTATATATAATGGAAAATGGAAGATGCCCAACCGTCATACAAGAGTAAACGTAGGAAAATTCAGTCATTTATATAACATGTTATCACTAAAATCATAATGGCACAAAAAACGAGACAAATAAAATATTTTTGTTCCATAAAAGGCATTCAAGTTAC